AGACAAGAAACTCAGGAAGAACCTTAAGCCATCAATTAAATTGGAAAATCATAAAATATTTCTTTCTAGTATTGTACCCCTAGTTAGACATGATGGGACTTAGATGACAGCAAAGATATGAGGGAAATACTGAAGTGTCAGTATGACTCAGTGTCCAGTGAACCGTTAACCAGACTGAGTCGAAAATCTAATTGAATTTATTAAGACCGAGACTCAAAATCTGACCAATCCAAAAATCTCCGATATTATCCTAACACCGCAAGACTTCGAAAAAGCATTAAATGACATGCCCATGCACTCTCCTCCAGGCCCAGACTCGTGGAACTCCGTGTTCATCAAGAATTGCAAGAAGCCCTTTCAGATACCTTCAGCATTCTATGGAGAGGGAGCATGTACACAGGGGGTCATTCACCACCCGGCAGCAGGGACGGTGGTCCCAAAACCCTCTCCATGTATACTCCAGGTATCCCACAGTCACTAAAACCAACAGATATATCCCACCTCCACAAAGGTGGCAGTAAAGCAATCGCAAAGAATTACAGACCGATAGCACTAACGTCCCGTATCATAAAAATCTTTGAAAGGGTCCTCAGAAGCAAGATCACCAATCACTTAGATACCTACGAATTACACAACCCAGGGTAATATGGGTATACAGCAGGTCGCTCCTGCCTGTCCCAACTACTGGACCATTATTACAAGGTCTTAGATGCACCGGAGGACAGACAAAAGGCAGAGAGAGTATACCTGGAGAGAGTTCCGGGGGTCAACGCCCCCGCGGCCCGGTCTGTGACCAGGCCTCATGGTGGATCAGAGCCTGATCAACCAGGCTGTTGCTGCTGGCTGCACGCAAACCAACGTACGAACCACAGCCCGGCTGGTCAGGTACTGACTTGAGTTACCTGTCTAGTGCCTGCTGGAAGACAGCCAGGAGTCTATTGGTAATCCCCGTAATGTATGCTGGGAGGCAAATGAACAGTCTTGGGCCCCTGACACTTATTATATTGTCTCTTATCATATAAATAAAATTATTATAATGAAAGAATTATTACACTGAAATTAATGAGATTACATTAAGATTAATGGAATCTCCATAAACAATTATTTGCAGTGAAATAATTATTTAGACATATATACATATATATTATAAATCAAAATAATATTCCTGTAAATTATTCTATTGAAACTACAAATTAAACATTAAATTATTGAAGGGTTTTGAAAATTAATTGCTGCTGCAATCTTAAAAAATAATTATTCATCACATATCTTGAAAAGTTCTAAATTTTTATCAAGGTCAGTTTAGTATGTTTATTAGTCACACCATACCCATCCTGTGGGTGGTAGTCACCACCATACCCATCCTGTGGGTGGTAGTCACCACCATACCCATCCTGTGGGTGGTAGTCACCACCATACCCATCTTGTGGGTGGTAGTCACTACCATACCCATCCTGTGGGTGGTAGTCACACCATACCCATCTTGTGGGTGGTAGTCACCACCATACCCATCCTGTGGGTGGTAGTCACACCATACCCATCTTGTGGGTGGTAGTCACTACCATACCCATCCTGTGGGTGGAGTCACCACCATACCCATCCTGTGGGTGGAGTCACCACCATACCCATCCTGTGGGTGGAGTCACCACCATACCCATCCTGTAGGTGGAGTCACCACCATACCCATCCTGTGGGTGGAGTCACCACCATACCCATCCTGTGGGTGGTAGCCAAAAGATTACAAAGGTACATAATGGGTCCAGGGACTGGGCCACAAAGTTATGATAGCTGAACTAGTTACAAAGGTACTGAACTCCAGGTAGATCTGGTCACAATCATGGCGAGTTACAAGGAATAACACGTAAATAAGTTACTAAACAAAGACTTCCTTGACACTGAACTACCATTTAGAACTGCTAAACTATCATATTACACCTGAGATTATCATTGTTGTCTCGTATTACCAGAGAAATTAATGAACATATAATCTTGGTTCTAAGTCAAAACTGCACCTTAACATTTTTTACCCACTGAAACTGTCTCAAAATTTCAAAACTTAATTTTCACATAGCCTCTTACTCTCAAAATTGCCCAGGGCGGTGCGGCCACTAGGCTGAGGTAGGCCTAACCTCACCTCTCAGAGAGGTACAGCAACTAGGCTGAGGTAGGCCTAACCTCAACTCTCATTGAGGTACAGCAACTAGGCTGAGGTAGGCCTAACCTCACCTCTCATTGAGGTACAGCAACTAGGCTGAGGTAGGCCTAACCTCACCTCATTGAGGTACAGCAACTAGGCTAAGGTAGGCCTAACCTCGCCTCTCATTGAGGTACAGCAACTAGGCTGAGGTAGGCCTAACCTCACCACTCATTGAGGTACAGCAACTAGGCTGAGGTAGGCCTAACCTCACCTCTCATTGAGGTACAGCAACTAGGCTGAGGTAGGCCTAACCTCACCTCTCATTGAGGTACAGCAACTAGGCTGAGGTAGGCCTAACCTCACCTCTCAGGGAGGTACAGCAACTAGGCTGAGGTAGGCCTAACCTCACCTCTCATTGAGGTACAGGAACTAGGCTGAGGTAGGCCTAACCTCACCTCTCACGGAGGTACAGCAACTAGGATGAGGCAGGCCTAACCTCACCTCTCAGGGAGGTACAGTAACTAGGCTGAAGTAGGCCTAACCTCACCACTCAGGCAGGTACAGCAAGGCTGAAGTAGGCTTAACTTTTCTGAAACTTGCTTCAGTAATAATCATACAACACTTAAAATATTGTACCAACAATAACATGAGGCTGAAAGTAAAGAATTATAGGAGAACTTTATTGTGAGAAAAACTAGAAATATCACATAACATCTTCGTATCCTTGAGGAACATGAAGCCACAATACCGTGACCAGAACAATACACACATTACCCGAACATCGGAGACTGTAACTTATTATCACATGTCGGTCTGACTTGGACCATTAACTAATCACACATAAGCGCGAAGGGAAGGGAAACCCCCCTCCCCTGTTATACATATATTCCTGCTCCTTTACCTTCGCGCTCCTATGTGTTAATTATCCAAGTCGGACCGAAACGTTGTTATAAGTTCAGTCTCTGACGTGAGGGTTATTTGTGTATTCGTATCCTGCTTCCCTGAAAAAAATATGTGATAACATCTGTTCTTCAGGGAATTTTGGAAGATTTTAATCCCTGATATACAATAACTACTTCCAGGAAGAGACTTGGACAGGACAGATGAATAAGCAGGAAGTAGTCTGAAGAAAGTGATTCTTCTGATCCTGGCTCTCAAGAGTCAGCGTGTGAAAAAAGATCAGCTTTTATCGATTTTCACATAACCTCACTGCAGTTTGTTGCAAAGGTGACGAGGCAGACTCTGCTTGTGTTCTTAATAAGAGAGAAACTTGTGAGACCTCTACCCACTCTACCTGAGGTATCCCAGCGAGTGAGCACGTCTCCTGTATATCCCAGTGCTTAACAGAATAGGGAATAGCATATGAAGGTACAAAATAAAAATGGGAACTATGGCTATAGTTTACTTAATAACATTACAATTGACAAGGATAACAGATGACACTGTTCAGATATATGGTAACTCGTATGATCAAGACATCACTAGAGATTCCTGGTTCTCAGACCCAGACAACTTTCTGGTGGCTGGGTTGTCTAATGATTCGTGTGTTAGAGCGTGAAATTAAAGACACTGGCTGAGTCTTGAGTTTATTAGATGTAGAATTTATAAGCCTATCACTGTACAGTAGCGCATAAGAAGTACCTAAAATGATCCTCTTAGCAAATGGATTCGATAAACCGTTGATAACTAAATGCCTGACACAACTTACCAACTGTTTGATCTGTGTTGAATCAGTGTTACTCTCGACAGGGTGGAACGACGTATCATGGCACAACCCCCAGGTGTTGACGCCACATTTGGAGTCCCTGGCTCGTGATGGCATCATCCTGGAGCAGTCCTATGTTCAACCTATCTGCTCCCCTACACGATCAGCTCTCCTCTCTGGCCGCTACCCCTTCACCATCGGCAGGCAGGTGGGTCTGGAAGTTGTTGCCCCTTAACAGGCATGTAACTCGCACAAATGTTGATATGTGGACTTTTGTAACTTATAGATGGATGGCAAGCAACACACACACTAGGAGGTATCACCGTCAGTCATGTGAGTGTGAAACTGGTCCGTTAAATGTTGAGAAAACAGGAGTGTAGCGGAAATATATAAATTCTGGAAGTTTTTAACAGGGAATAATTGCTTTGGAAGATCTTAAGGCTTTACAGAGAAATACTGTTGTAGAACTTATGGTAAGAAACTTTGGGATTCCAGGGTTCGAAAACTATGGGGAAGCTTTAGTTCATTTGGGCTTACATAGAGGACTGGTAATAATGTTTCAAAAATAAGTGAATAGATAAGTCTACAAGGTATGATGAACTGCACAACATGAGCAGTTTGCTCTGTCTCGATAGATATAAAACTGAAGTGTTAATTTAAAACATGTTTTTAGAGAGGTGACTGATATATAAGTTCATTATTTAAAGTAAAAGAGTGAGGAGGGTGGAGTAGCCGTGACTGCTGTCACTGGATGAAAGTGAAGGGAAAGTTAATTAATGGAGACAGTTAACCCTTTAGTATATATATCACTTTTAGGTAGAAGGAAGGAGGGAGGATATTTGGGAGTGGACTTGTCGGCGGATAGGCCAATAAAAGACGAGGCCAACTTTTGAAATGATGAGGGAAAAAAGGTAGGTGGTGCATTGAGGCATCTGTGGAGACATTAAACCATATCCATGGAGGCAAAATGTATCTACATTAAGTATAATGGTGCCAACACACTTATATGAGTGTGAAGCTTGAGTTTTAAATGTTGCAGCGTAGAGCAAGCTGGAGGTACTGGAGATATCTCCCAATTTTCCTACCTAACAACCCATCTAGTTATCTACCTCCCTCCCTCCCTTCCTACCTACCTACCTACCTAAGGGCAGTGTGTGATATGAATATTATTCAGGGAATTCGTAGTTTGGGGTTACCAAAGATATTATTCAGAGGAATCCACATTCCCCACATTTTGAGGGCTATGGGTAGCGAATGAGGAGATGGGAGGTGAAGCCAGACTCTTGAGCGAGGGTTCTGACCGATAAGTTATCCACACACTTAAGACCACCACGCCTTGCTTCATGGAGGTAAGCATACGAAAATTTCACATGCCAAAGCTAAGCAGTAATACTTAGTGCTCATGAGCGAAATCGGGATAAAAGCAGAGGAATTCTGTGTAAACTGTGTCAGTTAGTTTAATATGTTTATTATGCACCCCATACCCATCCTGTGGGCGGTAGTCCAAATATTACAGAGGTACATAATGGATCCAGGGACTGGGCCTCAAAGTTTTGATAGCTGAGCAAGTTACAGAGGTAATGAATTCACAATTTACAAAGGTAATGAACTCACAATTAACAAAGGTAATGAACTCCAGGTAGGTTTAGTCACAATCATGACAAGTTACAAAGGTATTTACAGATTACAGAGGTACACAATGGGTCCAGGGACCGGGCTCCAAAGTTTTGATGGCTGAACTAGGTACAAGGTAATGAACTCACAAGTTACAATGGTAATGAACTCACAAGTTACAAAGGTAATGAGTACTGTAAGAATGGTTACTTACGTTTATACATGGCTGCAATCATGAACAAATTTTAGAGTAATGAGCAATTCACACTTCCACACCCGGTCACAACTGTAGTGAGTTATTGGTGCAAATGTTGATTGTTGAGTCTCTCTCTCTCTCTCTCTCTCACACACACACACACACACACACACACACACACACACACACACACACACACACACACACACACACACACACACACACACACACACACACACACAGGCTGCTTGAAATGACATTCGGGTATCACATTGATAATTTATGGTGAAGAAACAATGAAGAAAATATGGATCTGATTACTGATGTTCTGTCATGAGAACTACCAACTGAGGGGATTTTTTTGTGAAAGTGAAACATTATATGGTGATAATGAAAGCTACGATTACGTTCTGATAGTGAAAACATAAATTAAATTTTCCCAGCGGAACATTCATAGGTTTTATAAACAAGAGGAAAGTTCCTGATGAATGTAACCCAGTGTAGATGATGGTGACGTGAAGGTGGAAGTGAGCCAGGATGGTGTGGACATCACAGTCTAGATGATGGTGACGTGAAGGTGGAAGTGAACAAGGATGGTGTGGATATCACAGTCTAGATGATGGTGATGCGAAGGTGGAAGTGAGCCAGGATGGTGTGGACATCACAGTCTAGATGATGATAACGTGAAGGTGGAAGTGAACCAAGATGGTGTGGACATCACAGTCTAGATGATGATAACGTGAAGGTGGAAGTGAACCAAGATGGTGTGGACATCACAGTCTAGATGATGATAACGTGAAGGTGGAAGTGAACCAGGATGGTGTGGACATCACAGTCTAGATGATGATAACGTGAAGGTGGAAGTGAACCAGGATGGTGTGGACATCACAGTCTAGATGATGATAACGTGAAGGTGGAAGTGAACCAGGATGGTGTGGACATCACAGTCTAGATGATGGTAACGTGAAGGTGGAAGTGAACCAGGATGGTGTGGATACCACAGTCTAGATGATGGTAACGTGAAGGTGGAAGTGAACCAGGATGGTGTGGATACCACAGTCTAGATGATGGTAACGTGAAGGTGGAAGTGAACCAGGATGGTGTGGACATCACAGTCTAGATGATGATAACGTGAAGGTGGAAGTGAACCAGGATGGTGTGGACATCACAGTCTAGATGATGATAACGTGAAGGTGGAAGTGAACCAGGATGGTGTGGACATTACAGTCTAGATGATGATAACGTGAAGGTGGAAGTGAACCAGGATGGTGTGGACATCACAGTCTAGATGATGATAACGTGAAGGTGGAAGTGAACCAGGATGGTGTGGACATCACAGGTCAGAACCCACCAGGCAGAAGAAAGGAATGGCAAAGAAAATATGGGAAAGGAGAAGAGGTAAGGAGAAAAGATAAAGATCAGGTCACGTCACGAGTTTTATGAAGTTTGTAGCATTAGACAATGTAATCTGCAGAGATAAAGTCGCGACTAAGCTTCAGATTAGGAAAGATGTGTATAAGTGATGCTTCAACAGGACGGCTTGTGTGAAGGCTAGAAGGGAAGACAGTTTTGGCAAAGGACCAGTGAACATGACTGTGATCTCTAACATGACAGAAAACAGCATTATTAGTGTCACCAAATCAAACACTTCTTTTGTGCTCTTAAAGTTTGTCAGAAAGAGAGCGGCAAGTTTCTCCAAAATACTGGTGAGGACAAAAGGGGCAGGAAATGGAGTAGACTCTAGAAACATCAGTTTTTTTTCAGACTTCTAGGGGGGATGGGGAGGGTGCTTTTCTGAACGTATGCCTTACCTTGTTACTGGGCTCCCTAAGTCCCAATTCGTCAATTTTATTAAACACACTTTGATATTGATTTCATTTCATTAAATAATGTCTGTATATCAATGGTATACAATACCGACAAGATGAAGAATTAGACACATGTGCAACATCTGGGTACCTGGAGTTTACCTGGAGAGAGTTCCGGGGGTCAACGCCCCCGCGGCCCGGTCTGTGACCAGGCCTCCTGGTGGATCAGAGCCTGATCAACCAGGCTGTTGCTGCTGGCTGCATGCAAACCAACGTACGAGCCACAGCCAGGCTGGTCAGGAACCGATTTTAGGTGCTTGTCCAGTGCCAGCTTGAAGACTGCCAGGGGTCTGTTGGTAATCCCCCTTATGTATGCTGGGAGGCAGTTGAACAGTCTCGGGCCCCTGACACTTATTGTATGGTCTCTTAACGTGCTAGTGACACCCCTGCTTTTCATTGGGGGGATGGTGCATCGTCTGCCAAGTCTTTTGCTTTCGTTGCAAGTGATTTTCGTGTGCAAGTTCGGTACTAATCCCTCTAGGATTTTCCAGGTGTATATAATCATGTATCTCTCCCGCCTGCGTTCCAGGGAATACAGGTTCAGGAACCTCAAGCGCTCCCAGTAATTGAGGTGTTTTATCTCCGTTATGCGCGCCATGAAGGTTCTCTGTACATTTTCTAGGTCAGCAATTTCACCTGCCTTGAAAGGTGCTGTTAGTGTGCAGCAATATTCCAGCCTAGATAAAACAAGTGACAAGTATCTTTACTTTGTAGACGTTTTGCCATCCAGTGGCTTTATCAATACAATACATGGACATAATACGATGACTGTAGAAATATATAGAGAAGAGAGTGGGAGACGAGGTAATCAGTCCCTCAGCCTAGGAGCAGGTGATGAGCACCGTAGTCTTCAAGAATGAGAAGCACGTGGGTCAGATGAGATACAGCAACATTACCTTCGTCTGCTGCACCTTCTCTGACGCCAGTATATAAGCATCAATCTTCTTACCTGTGCCCCACATTCTTCAACACTACGGTGCTCATCACCTGCTCCTAGGTTAAGGGACTGTTTGCCTCGTCTTCTACTAAAATCAAAGGCCTACATTACAGTTTTTTTTGTCAGTGCATTATGCCGGGTAGCAGCCGTTAGCATGATGTCACAGCCTGCCACCACACTCCACAGTGACTCCTCCATGCTCAAGTGGCTGCCATGGTGAAAGGAAGTGTTGCACTTTTGTCTCTCATCTACCCTATCTTTTGTCCAGTGTTCCCTTCGGTTTTGGGGCTATATATGTTTGATTATGGGTAAAAGGAAATCTTCAACACCTGAAACTATAGCTCAGATCATAGGGCTTCACAAAGCTGGGCAACAGACGAAAGAAATAGTGGAGAATGTTGGTGTGTGTGAGCGTTCAGTGAGGAACTGGGTGCAGCATTTCAAGGCTGGTGGCGGTGTCGAGACACCGTCTGCCAAACCTCGGCCTGGCCCCTCGACGAAGACACCTGTTCGTACCTTAACTGTGTTAAAGAAGCAGTTAGAGAGTACACTTAAGATAACTGCTAGAGAAACCATACCACGGGCAGGATTTGAACCCGTGGTCAGAAAGTCTCAAAACTCCAGACTCTCTGACCGCGGGTTCAAATCCCGCCCGTGGTATGGTTTGTTTGCAATCGTGTCATTACGATTTCGTGAATCATAACTGCTAGAGAATTGGAATAAAAGAACCCACATCTTCTCTCAGAGGTGTCTGTAAGAACTGTTAACAGACGTGTGTCAGAACTGGGCTACAGTAGTCACCGCCAGGTTAAGGAACCGATTTTCTCCAAGCCACAGAAGAAATGTAGGCTGGATTATGCAAAGAAATACCTTCACTAGAATCTTCAACAGTGGTCTGAAGTACTTTGGAGTCATGAAGCAACCTTCACCGTCACCTGTAACCGTGGGGAACATGTGTACTGGTCCAGAGGTAGTGACCTGCTAGACCCACGCTACACCTGTGGGACCACCAAACACCCAGACTTGCTCATGGTTTGGGAGTGTTTCAGTGCTCAGAGTGCTGGTGAACTCATTGTGCTTCCAAAAACCAGTATATGAATGAGTATAATTACCTGGAGTTATTGTGTGACAATTTACCTGAGGTGTTTGACAAGTGTGGAGCTACGGTTTTTATGCAGGACGGTATGACACGGTGCACCGTGTCATACCGCCAAATCTGTAGTTCAGTGGCTTAAGGATTGTGAAGTGAGGTTCTTTCATGATTACCAGGCAATTCCCCAGACCTAAACTCTATTGAGAACCTCTGGTCAATAGTGAAACGAAGTTTACTGGGCAAGGATATCAGTTCCGTCCCGCTGCTGGAGGCTGCTCTACATGAGGCATGGAATAATATACCTCCCCAAACCCTCAAGAATGTGGAAGTTTTCTACTCGATTGAGGGATTGTTAAGTGTGAGGAGGCGCATGCCAATAATAAAACCTCAGTAAGTTCGAATATATATATTATAAGCTTTCAGGTATGGTGTTTTGTAAGTGTGGGATGGTCGATATTGCCGTGATACATTTTATATATATATATATATATATATTATATATATTAATAAATTATAGAAGGTGACCTAAATATAAAGATAATATATCCAAAATATGAAATATTCATATATTAAACACTTTCGACCTCTCCCATCAGGCAGGGTGCTGACCCAAAAAGAAAGAAATATAAAAATGAAACACAACATATTCAACACTCCACTCCCACCCTCCTTTAATGCACATGTTTTTTCCAGAGTGCATCAAAAACAACGTTTGAATCCTTACGTATAAAGATACCACTAACATTCCATCCAATAACTCTCCATCACTCCCGAACACCTCCCGTGTGGAAGTCCAGACCACATTGTACTTCTTCACCTTTTCAGGACTCCTAATCCGGCTATATAAAAATTCCGTTTCCCTGAATCCTTCCCTAAATATTAACCCTGCTCACACCCTACATTCCAGGTTTCCAATACCTTGATCTCCATTCACTCCAATCGAACACGTCCGAGTTCCTGCTGGAAGTTCCATAGACCCTCTTGCCCACAAAACTCCCTTACCCTTCCTTCCATCCTTTCGAGGACGTACCCTACCCTGCCTTCCTTCCCCTACAGATTTAAAAGCTCTCCATGTCATTCTACTTTGATCCATTCTCTCTAAATGACCAAACCACCTCAACAACCCCTCTTCAGCCTTCTGACTAATACTTTTATTAACTCCACACCTCCTAATTTCCACACTCCGAGTTTTCTGCATAATTATTTACACCACACATTGCCCTTAGACAGGACATCTCCACTGCCTCCAACCTTCTCCTCGCTGCAGCATTTACCACCCAAGCTTCACACCCATATAAGAGTGTTGGTACTACTGTACTTTCATACATTCCCTTTTTGCCTCCGTAGATAACGTTTTTTGACTCCACAAATACCTCAACGCACCACTCCCCTTTTTTCCCTCATCAATTCTATGATTAACCTCATCCTTCATAAATCCATCCGCCGACACGTCAACTCCCAAGTATCTGAAAACTATTCACTTCTTCCATACTCCTCCTCCCCAATTTGATATCCAATTTTTCTTTATCTAAATCATTTGATACCCTCATCACCTTACTCTTTCCTATGTTCACTTTCAACTTTCTGTATATATTTCAACAGTCTTCACATTATGTCTGTGTATTATATCGTATTGATGAAGCCATTGGTGGGCGAAACGTCAACAAAGTAAAAATACCTATAATCATCAAATAACGTCTGTTCTGATTGATTTAAAACTATCAACGCTGATGATTCTCATGTAATGGGTTATACCCCAGAAATTACTAAGCAAATTTCCTAAATTTGCTTGTAACAGGTAAGTGAACTATAGATATGTAGATATAAATCCATATGTATTCCTGTTAACCCTTTGGGGCCTAGTTCCTAGGCCTTTTGTGTATCCATATGCTCTTGTGCTACTGTCCACAGGATGGATATGGGCGGCACAATAAACTAGCCACTTCGGTGGCAAAATCTAAAAATCTTGAAGTCACGCCAAGTGAACCCTGTAACCGGCAGACCAAATTGAGAGTTTTACAATTCGGGGATAACTTTTTCTAAGCTCGCAGTGACCGAAAAGCATCTAGTTACAATTTCTTTTTTTATTGATGAGAATATTTCACGGAAAATTTGAAGCAAAGGTGCAAATGTTGGTGGAGGAGTGTGGGAGAGTACGTAAGAAGAATGAAGCGTAACGTGAAGACAGACAAGAGTAAGATAACGAAAGAAAGAGGAAGTATAGTTAGTGAAAGACTGAATTTCAGATAACAAGAAAGAATTTGAATTTTTTGGGAGCGGATGAATAAGCAGGTAGGTATTCATGAAAGACGAGATGACAACGGGTGGCAGTGGGAAGTATGTGATCTTTATTAAGGAGTCGGTTGTAAATTTATATCAGGGGGGTAAAGAGGAATGTACCCAAAATATTGTATTGCATATTATTGTGTATGAGTGTATAGTACGCATAATTTTGAGTGTTAGTAGCAGGAAGAGTGTGGATGCAGTAGAGATGATATGTCTGATGTGGCAAGGGAATTATGAAGGTAGTAAGGAGCGAGGAAACTCGAAGATTGTGTAGAAGTATGAAAGAAATAATACGAAGACCAAGAGAAGAGTTTTTAAGATGGGTTTTTAGTTCAGAAAGAATAGAGCAAAATAAATTATGAGTATGCACTCATCTGAGATGGATAGAAGGTGTGGGAGACGCTTTAGGAAAGATGGAGGGAGAGGAGTGGAGGTAAGGAGAGGGAGGAGGCTGAGCATGCAGGTGGCAGTAAGAATGATCAGAGTGTAGACAAATGATTATTGAAACTTTATGTGCTGTTGATGTGTGATCAATGTAAATTCTCAAGGAGGTTGGATGTGTAGTGCAAGTATATTGAAGGATGTTTGGGGATACAGTGCATTTCCTAAATCACTTTTTTTGGGGATTTCCGCTCATATCTGGAATGGCAGCTAGAGAGTGAGATGGTGAGTGTTTCATGTATTGGCTCAAATTGTTTGGGTGGAAAACTTTCGATTTGTCATAAAAAATGTTTAAGTTCTTATCTTCTTTCTCCAGCACAGCGTCCTGAGCCCCGGGGAACCCAAGGGACTGGACCTCCAGTTAAAGCTCCTCCCACAGGCTCTCAAAGAGTCCGGCTACCACACTCACGCCGTCGGCAAGTGAGTTTTACACTTTAGGATTCACTAGTTGTCAAAGGCACTTGTCAGACACTCGGCCTGATATATTATTGTGTGTGGTTGTTGGCGTGCGTGTGTGTGCGTGCATGCGTGTGTGTGTGTGTGTGTGTGTGTGTGTGTGTGTGTGGTGTGTGTGTGTGTGTGTGTGTGTGTGTGTGTGTGTGTGTGTGTGTGTGTGTACTCACACACACTCAGCCAGGAGCTGAGTCTCGACCCTCTTCACTGAATGCTACTAGGTCCTCTCTCTCCCTGCTCCATGAGCTTTATCATACCTCGTCTTAAAGCTATGTATGATACCTGCCTCCACTACATCGCTCGCCAGACTGTTCCACTTCCTGACCAATCTGTAACTGAAGAACTGCTTCCTAACATCCCTGTGACTCATCTGAGTCTTCAGCTTCCAAGAGTGATCCTTTGTTTCTGTGTCCCATCTCTGGAACATCTTGTCTCTGTCCACCTTGTCTATTCCACGCAGTTTTTTGTAAGTGGTGACGTGTACTTAGAGTGGTGACGTGTACTTAGCTCTGTGAAGACCTGTTTGTGTGCTCTCTGTGAATCTGAACCAGGATGCCCTCTCTTGAGCAACTTTACCAGCAGCTGAGAGAAGAGCTCAGAGTTGCTAAGATGGAGATACGGCGATTAACGGAGGAGAACAAGAGGATCTGTAGTAATCCTCCTGTTGTGAGTCCCCAGGTTAAGAGGGGAGCTTGGTCAGTGGCCGGGCAACATGGAACCAAGCTGAAGATCAAGAAAACGGTTGGAGAGGCAGAAACAACGAGAAACCGGAGACTACCCGAGTGGAAATCTTCCAACCCATTCGCTCGGTGCTACCTGACGAATGTGAGTGTTCTAACTGGAATGCCACAACAAGCACCAAAGAATGCATTGAGGCAGACGTGAAGGATGAGACATCCCTAGAAACCCAACGAAGACGTCATCGAGAACGTCCTTGACGAATTCTACAAGTGGTAGTAATGCTACCTGGCGAAGTAGTCGACTATCTATCGGAGCATCACGACAGACGACGCCAAGGAAGGTAAAAACATTGTTGTTGATGGGGATAGCCAGATATGGTACAAGGATAGGGCAATTCCCTGCTTAAGGATAGGAGTAAGGAGGCAGAGAGTGTGTTTCCTGGGGCTTGGGATGAAGGATAATTGTTAGCCGTCTGGATGACATCATGAGAGGTAATGGGAGCAATCCTATTATCTGTCTCACGCTGGAAGGCAACCGATTGTTGGCGCAGACGTAGGAATGAGGACCAGATAGGTAATTCCTTCTTACCCAGACTAAAGTCAATGTAACTAAGCTGGTGTTTAAATTTCTAAACAAGATGAATATTTCATTTAAAGTTTTCACATCCTCTTGAAATTGGATAAAGAGGGACAGGAGGATATCCTATGGAAATGAGATAAAAATGATGATGGAAAGAAAAATGGTGAAATATTCCATAATAGAGAAATTGGGGCTGTATTTAGAGAAAACAAGGTAATTAGGTGCAGAGGTAGGCTTGCAAATGCAGAATTGGTGATTAAAGCTAAACACCCATCCTTACTGCCCAAAAACTCCATCCTAAACAAATTTAATTGCTCAAAATGCCCATAAAAAGTAAGAATGGTGGGGTACAAAGCTACCTTAAATTGTATTAGGGAAACTTTCTGGATTCCACAAGGACAGCAAAGTGTAAAAACGGGTGATTAAATCTTATTAATCATGTCGGCCGTGTGGATGCAGATCCTATAATGTCCCAGGTTCTCCACCAATACCAAAATGAGGGGCAATTTGAGTCGTTTAGGCAACGAACTCCCGCCCAGCCGCATGTGGAAAATACGGTATATATTTCCAAAATACAGTTAGTTTATGTAAATATGTGATTGGCCATACTGTATTTAAATAATCATTTTGTCATAGAGAGAAACGGAAAGCCTGCGTCCTGGGCAAGGTAAGGAGAGGTCGCCATATATTGGTTTTTGAATTGGAGTACCAACGTTAGTGTAATGGGAAGAAATTTTTATTCATACCCCACGTGATCTAGAAAGTTAAAATTGGGGTTTACGACCTCTCAAATAGTGAGGCAAAATTGTTTGGATGTCATCCTGCTAACTTAGATATCTGACGACTGGTACAAGACAACTCAGGAGACCTCAGAATAAGCTGTCTAATTTATGTTTAATTTCTGGTCAGTAAAATTTTCATAAATGTGGGCTTAAAGGGGGGGGGGTCCTGTACATGACAGCATTAAATCTCCCAGTCAATTGGTTAGTGGTTATGATTTAAGATATATTCTTCTCCATCTGTATATAAATGTGTATATATATATATATTTATATATATATATAATATAATATATAATATATAATATATTATATATATATATATAATATATATAATATATATAGTATATAGACCTTTTTTTAATTTTAATATATGGTAGGTAATCGAAGGGGACATTTTTGCGACCTAGGTGCACCAAATTCCTACTTTGTCTAACATGATAAATAATAATTATCTATGTTAATTTATTTATGTATCATAATGATACAGTGCAGGTAAAATGGTATTTTTCCACAGTGAGTGACCAGTATCCTAAACAGTGATGCAAGGCCAGGATTTAGAACCCCACAACAACCCAACAGGTGACTGATACCTTGCGCTGGCATTGGTGCGATGACAAGTTTGCCAGTCTGCGGAATATGTAGTCATCTTACAATCGCCTTCTATCACTATTTGAAAAATTCTTTCACAAACGTGATGTTTATAACCATATTGCTCATACATGCCCGCGTCCCCTCAGTGGTTTCACTTATGATAGAATAGCAACTTCACTTATAATAGAAGTACGACTTGACATTCCGTGTTAACACTTTGAATGTATATAGTGACACAAACAGTTGTTGACGTCGCTGCTTCAGCAGGCCTACTGCCACCTTCCCTTGTTATATATTTAAAATTTTATTTTTTTTTTTCCTTCTACTTTTGCTTATTAACTTTTTCATCTCATCCCCGTATGGTGCCCACATTTCACTTGTTATCCCAATCTCCGAAATTCTTGAACACCCACTTCCACACACTCACTGAATCTGTGGTATATTTGAATCTGTGTAGCAACAGAAGCCTACTATCCCCTAAACGGTTTTACTATTTGAAATATTAATGATTTCAGGCTTCCTCTCGAGACTTTTTTTTAACTAATAACTCTGGTTATCACTTTAATATTGTTCACATGACGTTGTCACTCCACGATTACTGCTAGCAGTACTGGTAGTCGCCTTAGAAAACACTAAAGTTCTCACGAGGCCTTGTCACCCAAGTCTGCTGACTGACTGTTACTCACCTATTTGTACTCCACTCTATTTGTGGGTTGCAGGGGTCGAGTCCTAGCTCCTGGCCCTGCCTCCTTCAACCGTTTTGCTACTAGTCCCTCTCTCTCGCCCGCTCCCATGAGCATTTATCAAACCTCGTCATTAAACTGTGTATGGTTCCTGCCTTCCATAACTGTCATTTTCTAAGGACTATTCCCACTGCCATACAACCTAATGACTGACAGAAATACTTCCTACTATCTCTCTGACTCATTTTGTCCTACAACTGTCAATTGTGGCCTCTTGTTTCTGTGTCCCCTTCCCTGGAACATCCTGTCTTTGTCCACCTTGTCTATTCCATGCAGTATTTTATATTTGATTATCATGTCTCCCCTGACACTCCTGTCCTCGCAGTGTCGCAGGGGGCGGCGATTTCCCTTAATCTTTCTTCATAGGACCTGTCCCCTTAGCTCTGGAACTAACCTTGTCGCAAATAACCTTTGTACTTTCTCTAGTTTCTTTTCTTTGACGTCTTTATCAAGTGCGGGTCCAGAACAGGTGCTGCATACTCCAGTATGGGCCTTGATCATACAAACGGTGTACAGTGTCTTGCAATGAATTCCTTACTAAGGTATTGAATTGCTGTTCTCAGGTTTTGCCAGGCGCTCCATATGCTGCATGCAGTTATCTGATTGATGTGTTCTTCCGGAGACATGCTCGGTGTATACTCAATACTCACCCCAAGATACTTTCCTCCATTGAGTGAGGTTTGCAGTCTTGGCACCTAGCCTATACTCTGTCTGTGGTCTTCTGTGCCCTTTCCCTATCTTCATGTTTTGCATTTGGCGGGTTTAAAATTCAGAAGCCATTTGCTGGACCAGGTGTCCTTTGTCCGGGTCTCTTGAAGTCCTGCCTGGCCCCTCATCAGTTTAATTCCCCTCTTTAAAATTTCACATCATCTGCAAAAGGGACACTTCTGAGTCAAACCCTTCCTCATGTCGTTCACATTCCCAAAAATAGCACTGGTCTAGGCCCCGACCCCTGTGGGACCCCGCTCGTCACGGGGCCCCACTTGTACATCATTACGTCCCAAAGACTCGTTGTTGCCTCCCTGTCGGGTTTCTCTGATCCATTGCATCCCCTTTTTCCGTTAATGCGCCTGATGCTCTAGCTTCTGCACTAATCTCTTGTGGGGAACGTGTCAAAGGCCCTTGCAGTCCAAGATGATAAATCAACCCACCCCTCCTCCGTGTTTACTTCTGTTATTTTATCTAAAACTCCAGAAGATTTGTGACACCGGGGATTTCCCTTTCCGTGAATCCGTGCGGGTTGGCTTTTATACTCCTTTCCGTTCCAGGTGCTCCCCCACTCTCCTCCGATAATCTTTCCATAATTTTGCTTATACACGTCAATGACACAGGTCTATATTTAGTGCCTCTTTTCTGTCCCCCTTTTTTAAAAATGGGAACTACTTTTGCCGTCTTCCAAACCCCTCAGGTAGTTGCCCATTTCCGGGAGTGTTGAAGATTGTGGTAAGGGGCCCACGCCAAATTCTGTCCCTCTCAAAGGGCCCCACGGGGAAGCCCGTCCCATTCCCTTTGGGGTATCGATGTCCCTTAAGTTTCTTCACCTCCTCCCATCTTAGTATGTCGTCCAAACACTTGTTGGTGTATTCCTTGC